ATGCACTGAGATTCAAATCAGAGTATTGGCTATATATATATACATAAGAGAAAAAAGAGAATAGAGAATAATAATGGTAATTAAGAAAAAAAATAATGAAAAGATATAATCTCATCATCAGCTCACACATAAATAGGCCAATTGCACATGGAATTCTAATGTTTCTAAAAAAAATTTTTAAATTCCTTTTTAATCAAATGAATAAAATTAAAAGAATATCTAGCAATATTCATTTATCCTAATCACAAATAGACAAACTCCTTCAGAATTGAAAAAACAAACAAACAATGGATAACCTAGTAATGTAATTAAGTTCTATGTAAAATCCTTGAATCATACAGCACGTGCTTTATAATTCTTAGTAAATTAATTGACTAAGTTTACATTTTTTTCATGTGCAAATCCAATTCGGTTAAAAATTTTATACTTTAAATATATTTTTTTAATAAATATTAACTTAACTTCTCCAAAACTTATATAAAATCCTTAAAATTGCATAATTAAAATTGAAAATTATTAATTATAAACTTTGAATTAGCTAGTATAATATTATTGCCTTGCGCACATCTTGTTTTGGACCAATTCAAAGTAACGAACAAATCAAACGTGCTTCAGTAAGAACGCGAAATCGAATGATCCCTTTATCCTGTATTTACGCTTCTATTTTAATATTTTTTTAATCTGTCAAACTAGTATCGAAAATATTTTGAATCATTTCTTTAAAGATGGCGGTATGTGTAAGTTCATTTGAATTCGTTACTCGCTTTATATAAGATTTGTTTTGTATTTTTTGCTTAAAATATTTCATTTGAGGTTCAATTTTTTGGGGTGCTCTTCACACTGTTGCATTAAAAGATTTTGCTTTGACTATTTTTCTACAATATTAAAAAGCACTCTTATTTGCAAATATAAGAGTTGATGACGAAATTTTATCTTTTTATTATTTTTTTCTCGCTTTTTAATTTTTTTTTAAATTAAATTTTTAAATATTTCTTCTAAAAATATTTATTTCTATTACTTTTTTCTTCCTTTTTTATAAATCCTTATTTATTAATTTTCTCCATGCTTTCTCTATATTTTTTACTTATTACGTATATATATATATATATATATATAATTNATATATATATATATATATATATATATATATATATATATATATATATATATATATATATATATATATATATATATATATATATATATATATATATAAGTAAAACCTCGATGCAGCAATATTTTGGGGGCCAAGTAAATATATTGTTATAGAGGGATGTATTGTTATATAGAGGCCTACATACTTCGAGGACACAGTAAGATTTTTTTAAATGTTAATGTTATATATGTATTAACTATTAACATATTTATATATTTATAAATATATTTATATATTAGTAAAAAATTAATTCGCAGAGTGTTAATTATGGTTTAATATTAAAAACAATTGAAATAATGAATTAAATCGTAAAATAATATAAGAAGCATACTTGACAACGGTTTTTATTGAAAAAATCCGATATTTTTGTTTGTTTATACATTTTTTTACTGTTAAGTCAACCAACAAAGTATGCTTTGAGTCCAAAGCACGAAAATGAGTTTCGTTTGTGATTCTTGCCCTACCCATCCTCTATGAAAAAATTCTCTTTCAGTTTCCAGCGTGAAGCGTGTGGTCATTTGTGACTCATGGTCATGATCAGCTTTTAAATGAAGGTGATGAAATCAGAAAGAGATGTTACGTATATGACTTCTTAAGAGATAAGGAAGGCAATTCTAAGAAAGGTAGCTCTTGCGGAGATCAGGCAGAAAAAAATGGGAAAAGATGAGAAAAGAAGAAAAAATTTTTTACATTATTTGAAGCGAAATAATGTAAAAATATTCTGCGAAAAGTCGTTCCAGCGGAATGAGCGAAAATAGAAATGGAATTTTCTGATTGGTTAAAAGTTTGCCGTTGTTTTAAATTTTGCTACATACGATTCAGTTTTCAAATATTTTGAAGATAACAACAGTGATATTTTCTTTCTTATTGCTCTATTCATTTAGAAAATAAATTTTATATACTTTAATATCTAATTATAATTCGCGCAAGTTTCTTTATGCCAGGTGAGCACAAGCATGTAAAATCAACGAGAATAGATTTCTTAATTATCGGTCGTATCACGGATTTAATATTGTAAAAACTGTTTAATAAAAATAAAGGCAAAAGCAAATTTCATTCAAATTGCACGTTTTCAATAATATATATATATACTAGCTGTACCCTGC